GCGTACCTGCGTCATGGATAAGATAACTGTTACTCGATGCCTTCCACACCTTCCTCGGAAGGATGGCTGTGCATACTGTGGACGTTTCAAATTCTTGGTTTTTTCCGTGGCCAACTTTTCAGCGGACGAGGCATAAAAATCTCAACAAAGTGCCCGGCTGAGGAACGCTGAAGCAGACAATGTAGATGGCGTCGTCGGAGAGGGCGAAATCAAAAGAGAGACGCGCTTTTGGGGGCCAGTTTGAAGTTGACACCAACAGCTCTTTCCAACTTTTATGGAGGATATGCACATCTTTCAAATCAAACACGATGCAAGGTCCGAGGGTGGCAAAGACCACAATGCAAATAACAAAATCTCGTCACAGTGATCAGAGCGCAATGACTGTAACCTTTCTCTCTCGGTTGAGGAAGGTGTCAACGTTTCAATTGCGTTCCCCGAGCATCAGAATCCAGGGATATCGGATATCGTGGTGATGGGAAAGAAACAAGAAATTAGACGATGCTTAAAATACCCTTAGCCGAGGGCCTCTTTCCCGCGGGACCACCCGCTTCGTCACTTTAAATCTTTTAACGTATCCCTGGTATGACGTTGATATCTCACCCTCAGTCAGTCTCGTCTTCACGGATCACACTACCACAGTACTTGTCACAAACAAACACAACCTGCATCTGCACACGGTACCGAGCGGCAAAGCCATCCTCATCGGTCGGCACCCCGCAAACTCCCCGACCGTGTGAGGCCCAGACTCGGGAACGTCTTCACGCGGTCCCGAGCTCTAGCCATTTGCAGTTTGTGTAAAACACAAGGAAAATTGGCTTGATATTATGGCGAACAAAGACGATAGCACGGTAATTACATCCTTCCACATTCCTTCCTAGCTTGCGTTCTCCTTCTGTTCACATTGCATTCTGCTTGTGGAACAATGTTGTTCTCTTCAACTTCGTGCCTGTCTCTTTGCATATATCTCACTCCAAGTGCAGCTGCTATGGCGGAAACAACCGTGCCTGAGAGCCCCCCCCGGCCGCCGCCGCCGCCACTGTCATTGTTGTTTGTGTTCGTATTCGAGTTATCGTTGTAGACGTAGACAATCACACCGTCGTCGCTGGTGGCCATCGGGGTGGCTCCGGGACGACTGACTGTGCGGTAGCAGGAAGGGGAGGATTGGCAAGTCCGTTGCGTGTAGGTCGTCCAAAAAACCGTCGGCATCGATGCTCCAGCCCGTTATCAGCGATACAGGGGCGGTACGTGTGTAGCCTGATAAACTAATTCTCATCTGGATGCCAGCTCCGAGGTGGAAGTTGATAGTAATCCTTGTCTAGCGGGCAAATGGTCGGACTTGGATGTGCCACGAGGATCGAGTCAAAAGTTGTTGTGCCGTCCAAGGCAGAGCATGATTAGGAGACCGAACATGGTGGCCATCATTATTCGTATGAGCCTGTCTGTCTCTCCTTCGTTTTCTCCAAGTATGTATGTGCTGGACTTCCGAGGGCTTAAATCTTTCTTATCCACCCAGCTCACAAGACACAGGAAAGTTGGTTGTAGGAGGGCTCAACTTCATCATCATATCCTCTTGTGGCTGTCAGAATATTGAGAACCAGAATACCTCTCATCATCTTCTCATATAGTGAGCTTAGTGGCTTATGCATACCGTGATGCCTTCTGCCGGAGCGGCCCGCTGTCAAATCTCCACGGTTACCAACTGGGCAGTGACCAGCACACGGTAAGGTGCCCCAACAATCTTGCGATACCGAAAAGGGTGTGTTTTTTCAGTGATGAGATGGGGCGCCAAAGCACGCAATTGGCTGCAAATGAGAATGCCACGACAAGCACACAAGCTGCCAAGAAAGCGCCCTCATACCCCGAAATCATCTGATGACAACATGACCCCCGCGGAGATTGTCGCTTGCCAGCGAATCCCGGGCGATCCCCCAGAAAATGCCGTAAAATGCTGGCGATCGTGGGCTGTCATGTAACCCTGATAAGGACGCATAGGCATAGATGGCTTGGATTTGAAGAAAAAGAGGAGAGACCCCTATCGACTATTTTCTCTTGGTGTAAACCTGTAAATATCTTTTTTTTCCAACCCCGACGTGCATCAGCGCGGTTCCAAGCAGTCGGGTCGTTGCCCGCTATCGTTTATCTTTTGCTGCTTTCTCGTGGGATTCTGTGCCGCTCGGGTGCGTCCCTGTGCCATGTCTTGGGCAGAAGCCGGTCAACAAATTCTCCCTCCTGAATGGTTCAAATCGCTGAGTGGCAGTTGGGGAAGCCGGAGACCTCGGTCAACCTGGAAGACGGGGTCAGCATTTAACTCAAATTCCATTTCATCGCAGGGAGTTTCCTGTCTGTTCGTCGCTCAGGTACCAGCCACGTGTGATAGGTTTGGGGGTACCGGGTCCGTGGGGAGCTCAAAAATAGCAGAAGAAGCAAACGTAACGATCTGCGCGGCTGTTCAAGGATGTCGACCTACTTAAGCAGGGGAACGGCAGGCCTTTTGAAGGTTCATGTTGATTTCCCCAGAGTTATCATCTTCAGAAACTTGTCAATAATGATGGGGGCTTTACCAGTTGAACCATCAAAATACAATGTCCTCGTCGTCGGCTCCGGCGGCGTGGGGACCATGGCGGCATATGCCATGGAAAAGAGTGGCAAGTCATCAGTGACTGCTGTTCTGCGCTCCAACTTTCGGGCTGTGAACGATGGAGGATTCAATATCAGCTCGCGTGACCACGGAACCATATCAGGTTGGAAACCGACCCACAGTAAGTTGTCCCTGCCTGCTTTTTCCCCCTCCGAGGTCCTGGAGGTCCAAGGTCTCACCAGTGCCCCACACCAGTCCGCGAGACGATTCCGAACGTGGCCCGGGAGACGCACCTTCAGCCCTATGACTTTATCGTCGTCGCCACCAAGAACGTCGCCGATATCCCACCCTCGGTAGCCGATATCATCGCCCCCGCCGTGACGCCCAAGAGGACCGCTATTGCGTTGCTCCAAAATGGACTCAACATCGAAAAACCCATCATCGCCTCCTTCCCCTCCAACCCGGTCATCTCGGGGGTTCCCTACATAGGCGCCATCGAGAAACCTCTCGGAACCATCAAGCATGTGAACCACGACAGGTTGATCGTCAGTCCCTTTATTAACCCCAATATCCCGGCTTCTCGGTCCGAGAATGCTGCCAAATCGTTTCGAGAGGCTTACAGTTGTCGGGGCGTCACGTGCGAGTACGAGCCCGACGTTCGAAAGGCCCGTTGGAGAAAGTTGTTGTATAATGCTTCGTACAACACGGTGGCCGCTATTTTGGGCATGGATACATCACGCATGCGTGTGTCGGAGCATGTTATTGACAGCTTGGTCCGCCCGGTGATGAAGGAAATCCAGCAGGCTGCGAAGGTGGTGGCGCCTGGTGTTGAGTTGTCGGACCAATTGATCGAGGATTTAATCAGGATTGATACTTTTGAGGGTTTCTTTAGGCCGAGCATGTTGCAGGATGTTGAAAAGGTATGTGATTGCCGTCGTAGGTAACAGACTGAGGAAACTGACAAGGCGCTTAGGGCAAGTTTATCGAGTTTGAGAACATTATTGGTGAGCCTCTTCGTGAAGCTGAGAAACATGGTGTTTCCATGCCCACTCTTAGGGTCATTTATGGTTTGTTGAAGGGTATCCAGTGGAAAACGATGGAGGCGAACGGTCTCGTGAAGGTTCCTTCGGTCAGCACACCTGCAATGAAATATGGTAAGAGAGAGAGATAGAGATGAGATTAACTAAACCTTGATCAGATGTAAAAATCTTTTTCTTTTCTTTTTGGTGTCATCTTCCTTTTACAATGTATTCTAGACTTGATCTTTTTGTCTGATTCGAGGGCTTTGGAATTCGGTTCTGTCTCTTCACAGCTGCGGTCTACTATCTCCAGTCTTAATAAATGAAAAAAATCACCAACCTCGGACCAAGAATCCATTCAACAAGCAAAATAGGGACTTCTTGTCAATACACGTGTCCAGGGGTATGTAGTGCCGAGTTATGTCGCACCAACCTTGGGTCGGCGACAAAAGGTAAAGATCTCAGATGCAGGCATCACACAGCCAGAACTAGATCTCACACGCGTTCAAGTGCCAGAATATCTTGTCGAGCCCGATCTTCCCCGCAAATGCGCTCGGGCCTGGCACAATCAATATCTCCAAGGCGTCCCCCTCAGTGAATCCCCCGGCCTGGCTTCCCGGGGACCACCGAGTGCTCCTTGGAAGCGTCCTGATCGTGCCCACAAAGTCTGTTGGAGTGGGGAGCTTGGATTGATAACCTTGATACAAAACTGTTAGAAGCCGAGCCGGGACCATCGGAGCGGATATGGTTTCATCAACGGGTATATTCCTGCGGTTACTCCCCGAATCAACACGAAAACGCTCGCCGCGAACCAGCAAGGCCCAGATCCGGCTGATCATTGTCCAAGAACCTACCCACAATGCTTCATGACACGTCAGAATTTGAAGCTTGACAGCCCGTTACTGAAATAGGAGATATATCTGTTCTCCCTTCCGGCGTTCTCTCCCGTTCACGTGTCAGATATTCCACGACTCCGGCAATGTACTGTACATCTACATGCCCTTCCGCAGCGTCAACAGCCCATCTTTCCATTTCACCTACTGCGCCACCCTAAGCTCGCCAATAGAGAGAGAAGGCCAGCCCAACACACTCTTCGAGTTTATAAGGATCGAGCCTTGGGAGATCGAGATCCTAGTGGCAGATTTCCGCCGTCATTGTGACTTACCCTCGAGATTTCTACAAGACACCTAATACCGTAACTTGAAGAACAAGGGGTCCTCCACAACTGACATGTAAACATACCCCTGACTCGGCCGAGTGGGCCCACTGCCTACCTCCACAAAAACAAAGATAAGGGCATTCAGTTCCAGCCACACATAACCACACACAAACACGGCACTTTAAGAAGAGGAATTTCCCGCCACAATACCAACAACAATTTGAAATGGCCCTTGGCTTCCGAAGCCCGGCTAGCTCAATCGGTAGAGCGTGAGACTCTTATACAGGATTCTCCGAATAAATCTCAAGGTTGAGGGTTCGACCCCCACGTCGGGCTCAATTCCCGTCCAACGAAACGATGATAATATAGCCATTTCTCTCTTTCTTTTTCTTTTCTTTTCTTTTCTTTTTTCTTTCCTGCCCCATTGCATTTCCTTTTGTTTGCCGCGTTATCTCTAGGTAGTTTTTCAATTGTTTGTCCTGGGGTTATGGTTATGTGTGTGTGAACATCCAAAGGAAACGGCGACATATATGGCCCCCCGCGGGTCGCCAGGCCGGAGAGGTGCCATTGCTGGTTTTGTATGACGAACTCAAAAGTAGAAAACCTAACGAGATCTGCGTCGTCATGGTTTTGTTTTGTGAGAGGTCGCGTGATGGAAGTAGCAAACAGTGAGAGACCCCATTCAGTACCTGAGCTTATTACATACAGATTTGGATGATATGATCCAGCTGCAAAGACTCGTAGGCTGGCCCTTGCCGTACATCGTCCACAAAATCACGGCTTAAATGCTCCACCACCTCCATGTACATTCTCCCGAGGTCCGTGACCTGAAAACCTGCAAGGCGAGAAACCAACAATTTGTGTGTATCCCGCTGAGGCCTCGGAAAAGTCTTTAGCCTAGAACGATTCTTGCCTTGAAATTAAACTTCGACTGCTGAGGGAAATGCCTGATTTGTCGCTCTGGCTCTCTTTACACCGATATTTTCAAAGGTAGTATACGTCACTTGACGGTAGGAACGTTGAACTAATGTTATTGTCTCTTCGCTTAGGAGCTCCCCGGATGTTATGCCTCTGAATCAACTGTGCGATGTGGTTGAAAAGACCATCTTTAGCGCGGTGCAGCGGGCCCGTCCTGTTTTGGCTTCAGGCCCTTGCTTTTCAAGTTTTCTGGGCCTGCAAAAGCGTCTCTACCTCTTAAAGATACCTGGTATTCTCGCATCGCCAATCTTATTCCTTAGGCCCCCTCAGACTTCAACTCAATCCAATGGCACCGATCAAACGTTAAGCTCCGGATGATGATTCATGTTGAGGATGCAGACGCAAGTTCTGAGACCCCAATCTGCGTCCACGCCTGCCCGTCAAAACCCCGGGCGATGGCCTCCGAAAATGGCAACGACAGTGTTTCCGAGGGGTGCCAATTAAGGAGACTTGACTGTGTGAAACGTGATACCGTTTTCCTTTGTTGTTCCAGCTCGACAAATGTAACATGTCCATGGTTTGTTGAACACATGAGCGTGAGATTCTGAACAGAAGATGGCATTCCAAACGCAATCCCAATTCAAGATGCAATATGAACGGACCAGGAGAAGAAGAGGACAAAGATGCGAAGAAAATATGTATACACAATGTCAAATATTCCATGTCAAGTATAATACCCACAGTAAATGCTGCTCAAACCATCCCTCCACCAAAAAAGAACCACGACTTGATCAAACCTTTCTTCTGCTTCCCTTGAACAATCACTATAAAACAACACCACGAAAACCAGAAGAAAAACCACAGGTAAAAATCCTAATCATACCAAAAAAGGGGGTATTGTTTTTTCTCGCTTCTCAATGCCTCATGCCAAAGCCAGAAACTCAAACACTGCCGCCATCCAGCCCTTCATGCATGCCTACCTAATTCTTCCAAAATAACAAAAATTCCCACAGATCTAAACTTAAAACCGCTGAAAGACCACATCGTAACCATGATCCAGACTCACAAAAACTTCCCACGAAAAAGACCCATATAATTCCCCTACAACACATTTCCTTAAGCAGTAGAAGCCGCAGGAGGTCTTCCTCTTCTCTTTGGTGCCGGTGTCCCATTCACACCCATACCCAACTTCGTCGCCGCCGCAGACGGAGCAGAGGCCATCGATATCCTACTGGAATTTGGCCCAGCAGGACTCCTCGCTGGCGCAGCAGCCGTCTTGCTCTTGGTGATGGTACTGCTCTTGCTCTTGGCAGCAGACGTCGTGCCAGCTGCGGTCTTCACCTTCTTCGCAGGCTCGACAGTCTTGCTTTGAGTAGATGCCACTGACGACGAAGCCTTAGGTAGAGTATCTCTCTTGACCCTCTTGACCACCCGCTTCGTATCCGCACCAGGAACCGACTTCCCCTCTTCAGGGGAGTCCTCAGAATCAGCCTTTCTCTTGAGCTTGGTAGATGCGGTTGAAGTCTTGGTGGCATTGGCAGCAGCAGCATCCTTGGCTGGTGTTGGCTTGCTCTTGGGGACGGCGGCCTTGGCGCGGACTGCCAGCGATCCAGCCGTCTCAGATGCCTTTGGCCGAACAGCTGACGCAGGCTTTGTGGGAACAGCAATAGTTGTTGATGCGACTACCTTCTTGACAGGAGTTGGGGCCTGCAATCGTGTCCTGTTGCTCCTCCTAGTCGGCTCAGCAGCGGGTGCAGCCACCACCTTGGACTTCTTCTCGGCTGGAGGGAGGGGAACCTCCGTGATGGTCGGAATAGCGAGCTCGTCCTCGTCATCATCATGATGAGAAGCGTCAGCGGTCAAAACATCTGCCAGCAGGGCACTAGAGACGCCCTTGAATGAAGCATCCGCCTCCTGGTATCTCGCCAACTGTTCATCCCATCGGACAGTCTTGGCTTTAGAAGAGCCCTTCTCGCCCTCTGGTTTGCTGGGATCAACCACCCGCTTAGACTCAAGCTTGACCCACGAGGAGTCATGTTGCTGCTTCTGAAGCACCACAGGAGGGGGCACAGCCGCGCCCTTGTTTTTCCGGGTATTGGTCTTAGTTACTATCGCAATATCCTTCTCCTCATTGCGAAGCCGGCCAATGCTCTTGCGACCTTCCATCACAGAATCGTCCATGGCGCCCATGCCAGGAAGGCGGACAGGAATCATGGAGAGAGCCGACAGAGTGATAGCGTTGGCCGACGGCGCGGAGGGCTTGAGAGAACGGGCGCTGCGCGTCCGTGTGGAGCGGCGGGGTGCTTCCTCGGACGCATCGTCAACATCGGGGGCAATGGCAGCGGAGGTTGCAGCAGTCCCCGAGAAAGGTTCGCCAAGCTTGCGACGTTTCTTGAGAACCGGCGCCGGATTGGAATTCGGCACGGTTTTCTCTGAAGCCTCATCCTGAGTATCCTTGGTGACATCGTCATTCGTGTCGTCGAGCTTCCGCTTCTTTGCTGGGCTCGGGCTGTTGGGGCTCTTCTCGCCAAGAGGAATCCTATCAGTCAGCGATTCTGAGTCTGCCCTGGCGATGGGTGAACCGGTGGAAGAGGTTACAGGGTTCGTTGAGCCAGAGTGGCGTTTGGGCCGAGAGCTTTGTGTCGACAGAGCCGCCGCGGCGGCTGCCGCTGCGACCTTGGCGTTCTTATCCGCCGCAACTCGCGTCACAAACTTCCTCAGCATTTCCGTCTCTGAATCCTCGTGTTCGTGCATTGCCTGCAATTGCATCGTATCATTGACAGGCCGAGGTGCCTCGGTCGCCAAAGCGAATTCATCATCAGAGGAATTTTCAGCGACATCATCATCATCCTCATCGAGCTGTTGCTCAACTATCTCATCGGCATCCATGTCATCCTCAGCCTCCAGATCAGCCTCAGACTCTTCGGCCAGTGCTTGTACGGCGAAAGAGGCGAACTCAGTTGGTGGGCTGTGGCGTACATTAATAGGGGTGAAGCCAGAGCTCTCGGGTTCTGTCGTATCAACAACCAAATGCCCTTGTCCCTCAGGTGTGGCAAGGCTTGGCGCCGCTTCCGCATCGGTGATCTGCCCAGGCGCTCCTGGGGTTTCGGGCACCGCGATAACGACCCGAGCCACCGCATCGGAGGCATTGGGCGAACCCGCAGCCGCCAGCGCGGTGCCAGGACAGTTATCGGCAGAATTCCTGTCCTTGCCTGGAGAAGATTGAGCTGAGGAAACATCCTCGTTCGCATTCTCGCTGTCAACTGGCAGTCCTGTGTCTGGGGAGGTCTTTGCCGCCTGTGGGTGTGGCTGCTGTGGGCTGACGCTGTCAGACTCGGCAGGTTCCGGTTCTGGCGAATCAGAAGAGCGCACGTTTGTATCACACTCCTCAGAAGCTTCCTCCGCCTCCGACTCCTGGAGCAAAGAAACTTCAGACGCATCTTCAGTAAACACCTCGCTTACGTCTTCGAGAAAAGATGAAGACAAGCAGGGCGAGGATGGTTCGGGAATATGACGCGACGGCTGATCCTTGCGAATGCTGTTACGAATACTAAGTTGAAGGGCTTCATCCAGGAGAATATGGCTCTGATGGATTGTCCTTTCGGTCGGCGTCGATGGGGCGTTGACCGTTGGCTGTTTAGTGATGGGGGTTGCTGGGCGCCCGTTTTGGGCAACCGGTAAGTTTGAAGTGATGGTAGAGACGGTCGCGGGGCTATGAACGGGCGCTGGCTGTTTGTCAGTCATTGCAGGAGTTTCAGGCTCGATGTACGACTCTTCGTAAATCGTCGAGAGGCCTTCGGGTTCGTAAGGGGTGAACATGTCTTCTTCTGACTGCTCCAAAAGTTCAGCTTGTAGGATATCAACCTCTTCGGAGCTAGGTGTTTGAGGGGTAACAAGGGGGCTGGCTGCTGCCTGATCCAAGATCGCGTCTACGGCTTCAGTATTACTGGTAACACTAGACCCGTCCTCTTCGGGCGATGGACTTGGGATGGAAGCTGGGAGGAAGCCTGCCTGTGGGGCGGCCGTGATTGCCGCCTTTGTGGGGGCAGAATCTGCCTGTGCTTCGTCCTGTTGTTCCTCGCCTGCGCCGAATAATGATCTACCAGACGTTGGTGTTGCGGCCTTGGGCCACTGTCCAAAGATGTCGATGTTGGCCTTGATGTCAACTTCGACAGCCTTCTGAGACCCGAGGCTCTCGCGTTTTGGCGAGGAACCATCCACCGAATTCCGTCGCCCCTTGACAGCTTTTGGCGTCCCTGTCTTGGAACTTTCCAGCGATGTAAAGCTGTGTCGCCGATTCGGACTCTTTCTAAGAGCCTCGAGCCGCGATAACGGAACACCACCCAAGGACTTACGCTCGCTTCGACGAGCCAGATGTAAGGAGTTTCGTCTGTGAGTCTCGTATTCCGGCTCGGCCA